AGCTGGGAGGGAGGGACGGGGAGGAGGCAGGGACAGTCACACTCAAGAGTGTAGGGAGGATCCATGTGTTGGGGTGTCCAGGGATCCCGAGGACGCTGAGATCCAGGTGCTCAGGTGTCTCCAGGACCCATAGATCCCGAGAAACCGGGTGTCTGGATACCCAGGGATCCCGAAGACCCACAGATCCCAAGAACCTGGGTGTCTGGGTGCCCAGGGATCCCGAGGACCCACAGATCCCAGGGAATCAGGTGTTCAGATCCCCAAGGATCCCAAGGACCCAGGAATCTCAAGGACTCAGGATCCCAAGGGCTCAGGACCCATAGATCCCAAGAAACCGGGTGTCCAGGTGCCCAGGAATCCCGAGGACCTACAGATCCCGAGGAACCAGATGTCTGGATGCCTAGAGATCTCAAGAACCCAAGGATCCTGAGGACCCAGGCATCCAGGTGCCCAGGGATCCCGAGTATCCAGGGATCCCAAAGACCCCGGGGTGCAGATGTCCAGGGATCCCAAGGACCCAGGTGTCCAGATGCCCAGGGATCCTGAGGACCCACAGATCCCAGCGACTCACATGTCCCAAGGGCCAAAGTGTTTGGATACCCAGGGATCCCATGAACCCAGGGATCCCAAGGTCCCAGATGTTTGGATGCCCAAGGATCCCAAGGACTCATGGATCTCAAGGACCCAGATGTCCAAGTGCCCAGGGATCTGTAGGTCCCAGGGATCCGGATGCCCAGGGATCCCAAGGAACTAGGTATTGGGATTCCAAGGATCTCAAGGACCCAGGTGCTCAGATGGCACGAGAACCCAGGGATCCCGAGAAACCAGGTGCCTGGGTGCCCAGGGATCCTGAGGACCTACAGATCCCAGGGAATCAGGTATCTGGACGTCCAAGAATCCCAAGGACCCAGGGATCCCAGGAACCCAGACATCCCAAGGACCCAGGGATCCCAAGGACTCAGGGATCTGGGTGTCCAAGGATTTCAAGGACCCATGGACCCTGAGGACCCAGGCATCCGGATGCCCAGGGATCCCAAGGTCCTGAGTGTCCGGATGCCCAAGGATCCCGAGAACTCAAGGATCCCAAGGACTCCTGGACCCCAAGGACTCCTGGATCCCAAGGACCCATGCATCCAAGTGCCCAGAGACCCCGAGGACCCCCAGATCCCAACGATTCATGTGTCCCAAGGAACCAGGTGTCCAAGTGTCCAGGGATCCTAAGGACCCAGGGATTCTAAGGACTCAGGTATCCAGATGCCCAGAGATCCCGAGGAACCAGACATCTGGATTACAAGGATCTTGAGGACCCCTGGATCCAAATGACTCACATGTCCCAAGGGACCCAGGCATCCAAGTGCCAAGGGATCCTGAGGGATCCCAAGGAACCAGGCATCTGGATGCCCAGGGATCTTGAGGATCCACAGATCCTGAGGAACCAGGTGTCCAGGTGCCCAGGGATTCAGAGGACCCATGGATCCCGAGGACCCAGGTGTCCAGGGATCCCAAGGACCCATGGATCCTGAGGACCTAGGGATCCCAACTCACATGTCCCAAAGACCCAGGCATCCGGGTGCCCAGGGATCCCGAGGACGCACGGATCCTGAGGACCAATGGATCCCAAAGACCCAGGCATCCGGGTGCCCAGGGATCCCAAGGACGCACGGATCCTGAGGACCCATGGATCCCAAAGACCCAGGCATCCAGGTGCCCAGGGATCCCAAGGACTCACAGATCCCAAGGACCCACACGTCTGGCCCCCCAGCACCCAGTGCACTCTCCACCCAGCCAGCGGGGACACAGGCATCTTGCCCTCCCCCTCCCCTCCCAAGACCGCCTCCCCCCAAGTCTCCGGGTCGCTGCTCCATCCTGCCCACGCTCTGCTGCCTCCCGCTGCCCTCCTGTCCGGGGTCCAAGGGGCTCCCAGGGATCCGGTTCAGGGCCTCTGGGGACTTTGCCCCACGAATCACCCACCGTGGATGGCGAAAACAAGGCAGAGGAGGGGGTTGGGGGGGTCCCCATCCACCTGGAGTCAGGGGCTTCCTCAGCGAGGAAGAGGATGGAGAGGATGGGATGGTCCCAGGGAGCCATCGGGCATCCCTGGTTGGGGACCGGCACGGCCAGCACCGGCGTTTCCACTTGACAATCATCTCCACTGACCCGTAGCGGGATCTGGTCCTGCTGGAGTCAAACGTTAACCAGGAGCAGGGGCTGGCTTGAAATAGGAGCAGGGATGGGGACGGGGATGGAGACGGGGCCGTGGCCATGGACAGTTGCAGGACCAAGGGGTCGTAGCTGCCGGCAGACGGATTTGGTGCCGGGAGAGGTTGGGTGATAGCTGGAGTGCCGGACGGGTGAGTGATCAACAGAGGGATCAATGGGTGAGCGGATCAATAGAGACATCAATGTGTTGATCAGGGAGAGACAGGGGTGAATGGAATGGGCAAGAGAGAGATTAATCAATAGATTGATCAATAAAGAGCAATAGACTGATCAATGGAAAGATTATAGGTCAAGAGGTTGATCAATAGAGAGATTAAGATGAATAATTGATCAATAGAAAGATTCTATACCCATAGACCGATCAATAGTGAGATTAAAGCTCAATAGATTGATCAATAAAGAGCAATGGACTGATTAATGGAAGGGTTATAGGTCAAGAGATTGATCAATAGAGAGATTAAGATCAACAGATTGATCAACAGAAAGATTCTATGTCAATAGATGATCAATAGTGAGATTAAAGCTCAATCAATCAATCAATCTATAGTGAGATTAAAGCTCAATCGATCGATCAATTGTGAGATTAAAGCTCGATCGATCAATCAATAGAGACTGACAGACCTGTCAATAGGCAGATTAATCTATTGATCACTAGATTATGGGTCGATATGTTGATCAATAGAGACCAAGAGATCAACCAACTGAGGGATTAAAGGTCAAGAAACCAATCAATGGAAAGATTATTGGCCACTGGATTGGGCAATGGAGAGACCCGGATCAAGACATCGGCCAACTGAAAGATTAGAAACCAACGAATGGATCAATAGACCAATAGTTGATCAATACTGAGACAGATCGGCAGATCACGTGGTGGATCCAACCCTCACCCCTTTCTCCAAACCACCCCTTGGACCTTCCTTGGCCTCTCATTGGCCAGCCCTTGGCCAACTCTTAGATCCAACCTTCATCCCTTCTTCCAAACCACCCCTTAGACCTTCCTTGGCCACTCATTGGCCAACCCTTGGATCCAACCTTCACCCCTTCTTCCAAATCACCCCTTAGACCTTCCTTGGCCACTCATTCGCCAACCCTCAGCCCGTCCTTCAACCTCTTCTCCTCCTCCCACCCTCCAGCTGACCTGGGCCCCCTCCCACCTCCATCCCTCATCCCACCATGACCTTCGTGGAGCTTCTGGCCCTCCTGGGCGGGATGGGCCGCTTCCAGGTGACCTACGTGGCTGCCTTGGCCATTCCGCTGCTCATGCTGGCCAGCCACAACCTTCTGCAGAACTTCACTGCCGGCGTTCCTGAGCATCACTGCCGGCCTCGGCCCACGGCCAATGAGAGCACTGGGGACGTCCCACTCCTGGTCACCATCCCCTCGGACGGCCACCGCCACCCCCAGCGCTGTCACCGCTATGTGGAACCCCAGTGGCACCTCTTGGAGGTCAACGGGACGCTCTACGGCAC